AGTCGCGTCTGTAGTTTGCATTGTTAGTGTTTCCGTCAATTTTCACCATCATGGCCGGCATGAGATGGAACTTTTGCGAGGTAACAGTTGTGGTAGTACTTACCTGGAAAAGAAAATCCGCGCCACTTTTTAAAACAGAGTCAACCCCCGTTAATAGGGACACTAAAGGGGCCTTAGAAAGTGTCTATATTAACCAGGTGTCGGTATTAAGAGGGGTTCGACTGAGTTTTACATCCATATTGGGTCTCTAGAGGAATCTAACAATAGTTTCTTGTAATTGGCGTATGTTATGGCTTCCCAATTTTATCATCACGGCATGGAACGGAACTTGAGCTAGATAAGATTTGCTTGCCGTACGTATATGTGAAAAAGAAACCTTCGTTATAAATAAAGGGTCTGTATGACCAATAAGTAAATAGAATTTTTAAACCCCTTAGCAATTGGCCGATTGTCTTTGTAAAAAGATGGGAGCTGGGTCTTTAGAAGTAAATACTCAGTAATCTCATCCCGGCCCTTGAAAACTAACGACAGGACATATAGGTTGCTTGATATGTACTATTAGTCTTCCAGAAATTATACTTAAATCATACTAGCACATGTAGCCCCCCGGGGGGGGGATACTTTAGGAATTTCTGGGTGGGGATGTGCCGCTGGGACCCCGGAACCCTTAACCTATACCAGAGCTAGTTCAGCTGAATTTTGCTACCCTATACTAGAGTAAACTCCCCAAATCCCTCCTATCCTAGAGTAGCTGTTTTCCACTAGAAACTACTGAGGTCACTGGCACAGTATAGACCTTATACCACAGCCCCTAGTCTAGATAAAATCTTCAACCAACTGATCAGTTTCCTGAAAAATGATACCCTAGACTCAAACGCTCTGATTTATATACCCTATCCTAGAGTAAATTGCTTGAAAGTCATACCCTTCACAGCGGCACATACCTCTATAGCCCATATGTTGCAGTCAGAGGTCTTATCAAAGCGTAAATAAGACCGACTGGTTCTTTCTTGCCGGATCTCTTATGTAGAGATACTAGAGCCAGACGTCACTTGAAAGCTACTCGAAGTGGGAGTTAAAAAAACTGAATGCAAGGCTGGCAATACGGCAAAAGGCTGATTAATTTGAGGCCAATACTTCGGCTAACAAAATTAACCTTTCTTAGGGCCACAACTACACTAAAAGAAAATACTATAACGGGTCCTTAAGGGTTATGATAAACTGAAAATGAGAAAAATAAGGTAAAGTATAATACAAAAAAGTGATTGATAAGGTTCCGGAAAACCCAATCGATAAAAACGTTAGCAATCAAGTGATATTTATCGATTGTTAACGGAAATCGGTGAAAATCGATAAACTGAATTGATTTTTATCGATTTGTCATGGTATGAGAAATTTATAAAGGAAGTCCGCCATTGTTTTTTGGCACGAGTAGATAGTACAGCTAAGAAAACACATTCGCGAGTAACAACTGATTAGCAAACATGAAAATGAGAAATGTCGAAACTATTACACACACAACTTTCTTTCTAAAACCCTTTATTTTGTACTTAATAACAAAAACGGTTCGGTTTAATTACATTCAGTTTTCGCAGGCAAATATCACGAGAAATACAACCTTAGAGAAAAAGATAACATAATAGCCGCCAGTGCTAAGATTTGCGTTATCAAGTACAGTATGTGGTCCTTGGTCCGCGTCTAAAAGTCATTAACTTGAATATCTTACCCGAATCTTCACGTAACGAGCTGAAATACTCCCTAAAGATAGCTTTTATGTTCTTCTCGATAATCCTGAAGTTTCAAGTTCCAGTTGTAAATATTTTGCTTGGAGTTCGAAAAAATGCGACCGTTTTCGATGGTCCTTGGTCCGCGTCTCAGGTAAGCAGCACGAAAAAAACGTAAAAATGTTATAGTTTCCACAGGAAAACGTCATTTTCACAAATTTCATGTATTTTTTTTCTTTTCTTCATGCAATTAAGCTAAAGTTTTTTTTCGGAAGATGTTGTGAGTATAAAATAATAAGACTTCAGACAACAGTCTCCTCGAGTCTCCCACATGAGCGTCGCGAGCGGTTTTCAGCGCGGTCGAAAATAATTACCAAAAACTGTGTATGTATTCGAGGTATTAAAAAAAGGGAACTTTTAGACATGTATAGGGACGATTTTCAAAACATTATTCGAAAAAAAAAGGCTGTCGCTTTTTATTTTGCGAAGTTTTATTCAACCAGGTTATAGGTCAACTCAAAATGTCTAAACTGCAGTGAACTCCGTCTAACCTCAATTGAAAATTTTTTAAAGAAAAAGGCTTGTTTATTTGTTTTTGATTGCCTAAAAGGCAATGTTTGTAGTCCTTTCAAAGATTATTTTAATCTTTTAATCTTTTAATCCACGATTTTAATACGAGGAACAGCGGGACCACCATTGCTTTGCCGAAAGTGAAACTTGACTTTGCTCGGAAAAGTTTTTACTTTTTAGGTGCTTCAGCTTTTAATTCTTTACCTTTAAAAATCAAGCAAATTGGCTGTAGGATACTATTTAGGGAGTCTTTAGATCAATTTTTTGTATAGTGTAGTTAGTTAGTTGCGTAGTCATTCTTATCTTTTTTTAGTTTTTATCCTCATATTATGTTATTATGACAGGACCCCTTTGATAACAGTGCTCTTGCACTGAAGGGCTATCCTGTATAAATATTCGTTATTATTATTATTATTATTATTTATTATTATTATTATTGTCGCGGAGCAAGGACCGCTAAGCAAAATTTGGTGATATTTTTCAAGAGTAGATAAAACAAAAAATTCAGAGTCTACAGCAATATGCTTCCAACAGCAGAAAAAAGTTGATCTGAAAACCTTTTCTGCAAAAAGGCACGTCTTCCCGTTGCGTTTTATTTTAATATTCACAGGCTAAGTAAACATGACCATGTAATTAAGGCTGCCGCAAAAATTCAAACTTCAGGAAAGACAAATTAACGTACCTGTCAACAAACTTTAATTTCGCGCCTTCAGCTACAGCAAGAAAGCCGAAAATTCATCATATCAAAGAATGCTAATCAGTAAATCACAATATCTTTCGTTATTCAACGTATTTTTTTTCTCGACGAAATATTTTATCATTTTCGGAAAAGGCGCGGACCAAGGGCATCGCGGACTTGCGCGGACCAAGGACCACATACTGTATACACCAAAGGGCTTGGAGTTGTCTGATGCAAGGAACACTGTTGACCGAGTGGCAGTGCAATTTGTTATACGTCAAGAGAAGGGTACCTTTAATAGGAGTTTCAATATTCTGCAAGCATCGCTAAAGATCTGGGTCCAGCATGTAAAAACTATACCAGGGAACCTATTACTCACTGTTAGCTACTGTTAAAATGATAATTCAGATTAAACACTTTGAAGGAAGCTATAGAAACAAACTCTAAAGGTTATTAAGCAACTTTTGAACATAAGAAAGGAAAATACTAACACCTCCAGCTAGCACTCACAGGTCAATTCCTGACAGAGCAAAAATAAGAAACCACAGGAAGCCACTGTACAGTAAAAGACAACATGACCTCCCAGTGAAAAAAACGTGGCAAGAAAACATTGCTCAATCCACAATACGGATCTCCCAAGAACACTTTACCCCTTAAGAACAAAATGAAGAAATAAGCGACGTGTCGCTCCCCCCTCCCTATGGGCTGCCTTCTGGAAGATAATATATTGAACGCAATTTCTAAGTTACGACGCAATATAGTTTCATTTTGTCGGTTCTTCGCATAGTCTGAGTAGCGTAGTGCATGCATCAAACATACATATCAGACAACTCGTTATGTACTGTTACTTTTCTGTCCCCTTGTTGCCAGCTTCCCTCTTTCGAGGAAGTGCTGACGAGGTTTTTCTTCACTCTTGTTTTTAAAATGTTGTGTTCATGTTCATGTTTTTAAAACATACATCTAGAAAACTTTGTGCAATTAACTTAATATTCCTCTGTGTGCTCGGGGGTGGGGAAAAGACAGAAGAAAAAAAAAGTGCAAATCCTCCAAGAAGCACATACTTAAATTAATAAAGACAGAGTTAGCGAAGACTGGTTTGAACTTGAAGATAGATTCGAAAGAACAAAGATAGAAAGGTCACAAGAATGAACATTAAATTTCTTAAAATCGCGAAGTTGCGAAATATTTTCGTCGCATGACTTTCGTTGGTTGGCTTCATTAGCTTAGATTTACCTTTACGCACGGCGAGGGAAAATGTAAGATTATGCAAACTAATGGTGACAAAGGAGGAGAGATTGGGGCTTCCGCCCTCGTTCCTCGTCCCCCACGCTTGCTCTCGATCAACTGTGATTCAAAAGAAAAATACGAGACTGCTTGCAATCCACGTTAGTTAAGTGAACATTAGTTCTAGATAAAACTCTTTTTGTATCCTAGATTTCCAAAAGTGACGATTCTAAACTTTAATCATACAGTTATTAACTTGGTATACATTTCATTGAGTAGAAATGACTGACTGCACTATGCAGATTAGAGGGGAGGGCGGGGGGGGGGGGTAACTGCCGTGATAACACTCCCCCGAGATACGGCCACATCTATAATGGTGTTATTATTCACTGAAATTCATAATTTGAAAACAAACTAAGCCATGCTTTCCTCGATGGTCATTAGCCTGTTCTCAACAATTAAGGACTTTCAAGTCTAGCTGATATTCGTCATTCGTCGAGTTATGTTTTGGCTGCTCTTGCTATGTTTTTAGGCAGTAGTTTGGGTATTTCGTCGTCTCTAAACGTGTGATATTTTCCGCCATTTTCTCCAGCTCCACCAAAGCAGCTGAGCTAACGTAACCTCGTTCCCAGGGCTTCTCGGGTTCCGCGCCTTTTCTGTCGATATCGTGCATTATTGACGTCATTTTACTGGATATCGCATAAGTCTTTCCCATTCGGTGAACGCTAGCTGGTTATGAAGAATGAGCAAGGGAAAATGAATAATAAACCATTAGGCAGTTGGCAAACAACCATCGGCGGAGTAGACGCTACAGCAAACAACTCGAAAGCTAAACAAGTGAATGCTTGTTTATTTCCTCGTTAATGAAAAAGCAAATTCCAATGTTCAAGTTTTAACTAATACCACATTTTATCCTTGTTTATGACGCTATTCATTCACACAAAATATTGACAAAATAGAACTCTGACAAGACTGTCCTGTTTATGCCATAGTTAACAATATAATTCCTGCTCATTGAAGGCTACGTTAATTTAACAATATAATTCCTGCTCATTGAAGGCTACGTTAATTTAACGAAGCACTTTCATGCATTGATTCATTCTATACGTGTAGGTGCAAAGTGCAAACAATTTCATGGTTTCTGACCACGAGACATCAAAAGTAATATCATGCTTTGTTGACGTATCTGACCTCAGAATATTATGAATAATATACATCGACGCCTGAATACAAGCTAAGTCGAGGTTTTCTCGCCACAACCTTATAACGGGTAGTTTCTTAGCCAAAAATATTTGCAAAATACGTCTAGAGCAGTTCATTTCCTCCCAGTGTTAGAATTGATAATACAAATACAGTTGTGCAGAACACTATTTTCTTCAATTGAACTGTCTTACTTTCTCTTACTAAAGATAAGTATAAATAACCGGTACAAGCTCAATGGAGAGAAATCTGTGTCTATTCACAATACAGGGCAGAGGTTTGTAAACAAAGAACATTTTTTGTCTTCCTGCAGGTTCACTTCAGACGGCCGGGCACAGTTACTTCCAGCCAATAGCACTGCTTTCAAGAAGAGCGACCAAGCCAATTGACACCACATACAGAGAACCAACCAGAATGGCCATCCACAGCTATAAAAAGGCCGGCAAAATAACAAATGTTAGCTGCATGCTGCAAGGTGATTTTCTCTTACTTTTCAAGCTTTTATCTAGACAAAGTTTTTTACTCGTACCAGCGAATGTCTCTTAAGGATGCTCTCAAAGTTAAAGGTCTTTTCTGATATAACATTCAAATCTTTGATGATTGTACAAACATTTTCATGTGAAAGAAAACACTTACCTTGTAAGTCATTCGGAAGCCAGTAATTCCCACAAGCCATTGTACAAAGATAATCACTGTCACCTCTAGAAACAAAATAGGAAAAAAAATTGTTTGGAAATCTTTTTTTCAAGAGTTGGGCGGAGACAGGACGTGGATTCGTATCTCTTCCGCTGTTCTGTTTCTTCATTTTTCTCATAAAAATTGATCACAAATAGACTCAACAGTCCTCTTTTCCTTGTTAATTGCTACATGTTTATATTTGCCAACTCTTTCGGATACGGCACAAATCGGGTCACCACATCTCCCGGTTGAAACTGAAGTAGGAGCCGCCATTTCTGTTTTTAGTTTGGAATTTAGTCTATTTCCTCTCCAAATTCAAAATGGTTTTCGATCATAATAAGGACTCCGAAGTATTTGTGCCATTTTTCATCGTTGACAATACTATTTCGTCAAAAAAGCGATTTTTGAGAGCCTGTCATTCCTGATCAATTAGGTCCTGAGCCGCCACATGCAGCAACCATTGGTCCCACGCACGCAGGGGAGCATGGTTGATCGGTTGGTGGGTACTGCGCATGCCAAAGAGGCAATTGGCTCCAGATTTTCAATGTAATGAGGTAAGGATCTCTGCATATTTAAGTTGCGTCATGCACATACGATTGATCAGCAGAATATTACTCACCTGCTGAATAGTACCATTTTAAATCTCTAAAGTAAACAAGGGCAGCGAAGATTCCAAGACAAAGAGTGTTATTCATTGTACCAGCTCCATAAAGCTGAAAGAATTTAAGAATATTTTCCAGTTTAATCATCAACCAGAGATTATACAAATCCCTCACATTTTTTGACAAGCAGTGCCCAAAAATCCGGGAGGTTAAACTTAAAGACGAAGGCCTTTTATGTAGCGTTTTAAAAGAGCCGGGTTTAATTCCTTACGTGATCCACACACATCCCGTGTTAAAGCGTGTGAAAACTTTTATTACACAGTGTCATACTGGTTTCAAAACGATTTATTTCTTATAAAGACCAAATCCCACACAAGTGTACAGAGACACTTGCCAACTAAAAGGATAAAAATAACTCATGGTAATTGACGGTGTTTAGAACAAAAATTAACTGGTGACAGGCGGTCTTAAGGGTGCCAAAAGAAGTCGAAACAAGCAAACAAATAAACATGAAAAAACAATCTAGCAATATTTGTTTTATCTTGAGACTTAAATTAAGAGCCTACCTGAGCAAATGTCATGGAGATATTCTCCTTCTTCTTCTTAGAAGCAAAGATCAGTGACGACACAAGTTCAGAAGCATTAGAGCAGAGCGGGGTTACCACAAATGAAACGTAAAAGGCTAAAGAAAAATATACCACATTCAGTCAACGATAAATACATTATTATTCATTCGAAATATTTCGCCGTTTCTAATTGACTCCAATTCCCCGGCTAATTTTTCATAACCAACTGTCGCTTACCATATTTGCAAGCAATATACACTCTCTTTTTCTATAAGAATATCGAGGCTGAAAATTTCGAAATTTTAAGAATGTTTTAAGAATAAACCCAAGGCTGAGAGTTTTAAAAGGACTTAATTGTCCTGAATACTCTATTGTGGCTCTAGCAAATGTAGACTGTAGTTTCCATGATTGGTGTTTCTCGAATCCTACGAGTTCTTACTTGATAAATGTTTGGACCTGAATTTTGTTTTCTATGTGACTGACATTTTGAAAGCAAACTTTCCGCTAAGGCCAGCTGAAAATAAATAGCTTACCCGAGATTGGAATGTAAGACTTGTTCTTTGAGTTTGTCAATGAATCCAACACATCACACATTGGATCAGCAAAAATTGTCACCTGCGAAAACACAAAAAAATCATTTTGAACAAATACACAAGTCTCAAAACACCAGCATACTATACGTGCCCAAGATCAAATTCAGGAATCTACAACATATGCGGCACAAAGGCAGCTGCGTTACACCTAGTTACACCTATTGACTAAACAAAAGGTCATCACTTGATAAGTCAGATACGTCAAGAGCTAATGATTACAAGTGAGTCACAACTTACTAAGCCAACTCCTATAACCAGAAGAGAAACGCATTTGATGGTCAGATGAGTAAAGCTTTCCTCTTCCTCTTCTTCTTCTTCCTGATCGGTAAATAATAATAAAAAAACCTTAATATAACGCCATAAAGCCAATAACTTGCATGCTTTTCGTTTGCGTGACTTTTTCCAACAACTTCACAAGAAAAAAAAAGGACAAGACAGTATAGAAGTTACAATTCTTTAAAAGCAAAACGACATGTGCCTGTACGGTGCTGTGGCTAAGATTATTCTTCAATGGAAAGTTTCATACCAGTACATTCTGCGTAATAAACATAGATCTTTTTCATAAATTTGGGTACATGAGATTAATGTGGCTGATTCGAGGCAAAATTACAAATAAACGCCCACCCCGAATAAACGCCGCACCCAATCAGAAGAATGCAACTTTCATTCGAGGATTATAAGAAAAAAGTTGGTTCAACTTGCCAGAATCATCAACATAATCCAGACAATTACAGTTGAAACTAAAAACACCTTTCGTTTTACATAATATTTAGATATGTTTTTTTTAAATCTTTTGTTTCACCAATTAAAATCAGATTGCTGTAGTGTTGGTTTTAGTTTTTTCTACCGATTTAAAAAAGAAAAGCTAATGAGTCCGGCATGGCATCCGAGTGGAGTTACAAGAATCTGAATTCCAGTTATCGTATTAAATGTCAGTGAAATTTTGATGAAGGAAAAGGAAATTTAGGTCGAGTTAGCGGAGAGTTCGAGTTCACTGAGTTAAAAATGACCGAAAAGTGGGGTGAAATCCTACGGAATTGGGACTTTTCGTTCGAGTTAGAGGGAGTAACAAAATAGGTAGCCAAATTAATATCTACACAGGGACGTCATCGACAACGGTAAATGAAATAGTTTCAGTAAATAGTTCACAGAAAAGTTTCATGAGTAATTAAAAGAAAGATTGCAGTAAGGAGAACTCCTTAGCGTTATTCAAGTCAGCCACTGATTAAAGATTAAATTATAAAGAGCAGCTTTTAAACAAAATATGTGGAAAGTGATCAACCAGGCTGCTAGTCATGTGGAGCAAACTGACTTTAAGTACGCACATCATAATGACCACCAATACTATTTTCATTCATTGATTGTATTACATTAGTTCAGTTCATCACAAGTCACCATTACCAACAAATCAAACCTAACAGGTGTAAAAACATCTTAGAATGGTCATCAGTTCTAGAGTCTTAGTAGTCTTAGAATACCTATTACTGATTACAAAAAAGAAGATAAACTGCTGATTGTAGCTATCAAAGCCATATATATGGCACAATGGATCAAACTATCGTAGACTTTGTTTGTCATCTGAGCAATTACTTTCCAGAGCCCATTTAAAGGCGTTTATGCTTCAACCATGTCAGTGGAAAAAGCAAATTTGGGCACATGTGAGGAAAAAAAGGAACACGACTGCCAATTCTCACTGCTTGTCTTATTTTCCTCTTTTTGTTAGAGTTTTGCTATATGTTATTTCCGTAGGAAAATTCTGTTCTTAAACTGCTGAGGGTTTTAACCATCCATTGGACAGCAGAACCTATGGAGTGGTCCCGGAATGTGTGCAGGTCCACATGGTCTTGAACAGAGCAGGTGAGGGTATTCAGTATTAAAATCTAAGATGAATTGGCTGAATGTAATTTTAAAGTTTAAAATTACATTCAAGTCTCACTGAATGCCAAGTGTAATTTAGTATGAGGCAGTATGAAAACTTGAACAGCTGAAGGCAATATTTCAAAATAACTGGGATATTTATTCAGCTTAAACTTCCTCTTTCAATCTCATTAGATTTTAGTCATATCACTTATATCACACTTTAAATACTCACCTCCTCTATTTTAAAAGAATCTCGACCAATAAGTTCCTGTCAGATGACAAGTAAGAAAGAAAAAAGAACAAACTTAACCTGTTACAACCACTGTGAAGTTGTTGCTGTAAAGAAATTTCCATTTTAACCTCCCAACAGTAAAAAAGACTAGTATATTTTTGTGCAGATTATATTGGAGGCCCAATATACTGTGGTCAGTTCTGCAAGGTTTTTTTTTTATATGGATCAATGGAGATGTTAACATTAGGAAGCAGAAATTTTTAACCAACAGTGAGAGTTCTCCTTGAACTTTTACACATAGCTGGCAAATTTATTAGAGATACATTAACCAGCTTCATTAGATTCAAATTAGCTAACTGGCAATTTAGGCTATAATCAAGACAGTACAAATACATTGTGCAGATGAGCAACTGGCAAGCACAAACAAAATAAATGAGAAGTAGCATTAGTAATTAAAAGATGCTGCAGGAAAGGTTAACAACAAGTGAAGTGTTCTGTGACGAACAACATGTCAACATAAAAGTGAATTATACCTCTTTGTCACCATGGACCTCTTTGGGTACAATAGGATCAGTTTCAGATGGCTCTTTCTTATCCATTGCTGCCCCCAGACGCCAGGCTTTAAAATATTTCTTCTGGACATGGGCTGATGGAAAAATGTCATTTTATAGTGTCCATAATAATATCCAACATTTCAAGGCAAAAAAAACACATTTCTACTTGCGGAATTATTCTAAAGAAAAATATTTTCCAAGAACATTCTGTTGAGTAGTTACATCACTAATTTATCGGAGATATTTAATCTGTCATCAGATGGACACTTAAGGCACTACAAACTAAAAATAATATCAGACTTGAGTCTGTCATTGAACGACTAAAGTGGTGAAAGTTTTTACAACCTGATACACAGGAAACAAAAGCCACAGAATAAAGCATGGATTAATAGAGGAACCTCAATATAATGACCCTCCTTGGACAGTACTACCCCAGTAATATAATACTAAAATATATGAAAAAGAACCTTGAAATAACAAAACCTGGTTATACATTGTAGCAAACAAATTTTGCCAGTCCCTAATGGCCCTTTGTTATATTGAGGCTGATCTACCCACTGTACAAAGACTAGTTTAGAACACTCTGCACTGCTGACCTTCTTGGGCAGCTTTATCTTCACCAGAGTCAAGCTGATCACCCATACTTGATGGCATGGTCCTTTTTGCCATCATCACAAAACGATGTAACACCTTCCTTTGCATCCTGCCAACATAAAACATATTATTTTTAAAAAATTGACAAAACTTTCACTAAGCAAATACAGGGCTGTCATTAGGGGCGGAGGGCAGGGGATTTTCCCCAACTGTAATTTATGAACATGATCCCCACCTACTTTTGCAGGAAAATAGAAGAAAGATAGAATAAAAACAAAATCCCTAGCTGTTTGATTTCTCGCCTGACTTGTATCATTTACCCGCCAACTTGATATTTTAATGACGGCCCTGAAATAAGGGTCACAAACCATATCAAGGCTCCAATTCAAGTGCGCCCATGAAAAAACACACACAACTACACATATAAGTATTAACTCAATCTATCAAATTTTCCACAGACAGCTAAATAACTAATATTTATTGTCACTAAGAGAGCTTAAGTATCACAAGTAATTAAAACTAGTATTTTAACTCTAGTAACAGCATATATTAGTTTTTAAAATTAATTCCTTTTGTAAAAATTCTTTTCTCAGTATACATACTTAAATTTAATGTAGTGGAATTGAATTCTTTGAATGCAAATATTACTCTAAATGCATCAATAACAGTCAAAAATATAGATAACCAAAAAGAATTTTATACTTACATTTCTTGGCGATGCTTATCAGCTCTCATCTGGGCTGACTTACTGTCAACAAACTGCAAAAAATATAATTAATTCAGAGAGTGCTTACATAATAAATAAATAAATAAATAAAGCAATAAATTAATAAAGCCCTTTTTATAAAAAAGCAACTATAGACCTTTGACATAATTAAGACAAAACTATTTAGTAAATAAATGATAGGTTTACTGTTTTACTTTTATATGTCAAGCCGGCAGCCACCAACATACATATTGCAGTTAATTTTTTATGTTAGGTAATTTTTATTTTTCCCTTTGTTCAAATTAAACTTAATTAGAATATACAATGTATAACCATACAATAAAACAAAAGAGAAACAAAAAATGCATGACATAAAATATTAACTACAACATATATAAATGGATACTGGTGAGTTTTCTGCTTGGATGTAACCCTGTGATAGACGTAAGCATCCCATCCTGGAGGGGAGGGCTGGGTGAGATTAACTCCTACTGGCTCCAAGCTACGGAAACTGGGATAAGCTCTAGATTAATGATGGACCTGTTGGCTCAAACAGACTTGCTGTGTAACCTAACCACTGGCACAGAGTAGGGTTATAAAAGATAAATATACTCACCAGAAATATCAAGTAAGCAACAAATCCAATGAAGCAAATTATCATAGTGGCTAAAGCAGCTTTACGCACATACTCTGGTTGAGTTCCAAAGTTGTGTGGCCCAAAATGCCAATCTGCACCTTGCACGATGCTGTGAATGCCAAAGTGTTAATCAATCACTTGAATTTACAGACTGATAAATTATATTTTGATGCAAGCCTAGATTAGCTGACAAAAAGGCTTCATAAAAACACAAGCAGTTATAATAGCTACTTTTTAAAAATCTCAATTCTGTGCAATAAAGCAGTTACAAGAATCCATATACTTAATAAATCACTTACCACGATAAGCAAGAAAGAAATGTTTCAAAATCATTATTTAACCTTTCTGAAAAACAGCTATGAACTCTAATGACTAGCCTTCATGGTCATAATATTGTTTTACAACCTACATACGCACTGCATGTACCTGGCCTTAATCCTATTCTATATGGCATTCTCGCTTGAATCACAAACAAAATATCACATGGATGTTCAAACTCAAGACATCACTAAGCTGGTCAGATAATTTAATTAATTAATATGTTTAAATGATGATCTTTTAATGATTAAATCGCTAAAAAAAAAAAAACAGATTAAGGGAGGTGACAATGTATTGGAAACTATATTCAGAAATCAAAACTGGAAGATTTACAATTCCCAAAACTCCTGAAGATCTTGGAATTTGTGATCACTGAAATCTAAATTCAGTTGAAAACAAAAAGCGCGCATTCTTTCACTGTGACCTAAGATGATTTGATTTAGACTCTTTTTATTAAAATCAACAAATGAAATACATTATTTACAAATTACAATAACCATAATAATGTCTGTTTTCTTTTCAACAATACTGACTCGCACATCAGCACACTAACTGCTAATTGACGTTTTTCAAGCATTTGAAATACGAAAGAAACATAATTTTTATACCACTCAATTATATCGGTATTTCCTTAAATTTATATTATTGTATTTCGATCCTGAAATGGTAATACTGAAAAATAAACTTCTTGTTGTTGTTGTTGTATTGGTGAACTAAACACTTTGGGGGATCGAACTACATACAAATACCTTAACCATCATCTTAAAATGCGTTCAGGGGATTGAGAAGACTATAAGGAAACAACTCTGAAGCAATTAACTCATTTTCTACCGGTGTCATGAATATCTGACGAATTTGTCGGAAAATCACAAAAAAATTTAAAAAATAGCATTACTTTCGATCGCCACCAAATTTAGCCCACAGGAATTAGATAGTTCAAACCAATCATAGGGCTAGTTTCAGTCCCCAACCATTGATATGCTTCATGCAACGATCTTTTGAAAGCTGAAAAAAATGGAGGGCGATTAAAGAATTTGTGGTAGCTTATATTAAATGGCCACCAAGAAATACTTTGGTCGACAAATTTCGACCAAATATGTACTTCACAATGAATTTAAAAGCTTCGTGGATCATAAACTGGTAAATAAATGCAAAAGTCGAGGTAAGAAAAGGTTTATAACCATAGCATGCGCTTCCCTGTGAGTTCATTCTGCTACACATGTTCAGCAAATTCGATGAAATGCTTTTTAGTTTGGGTTTCTACTCTCAAAGCCCTGCTTGTTTTCATAAAGAGAGAGTTTGAATTCATCTTGTGTGTTTTAAATTGACTTATGGACCAAAACATGAAGATAACAGACATTTTCTGTGAGTAAAAACTCACAGATGCCAAAGTATGCAAATTAGGGTTTTAGCCTAATTTGCATAATAAGATACAATTAGAAAGAAATTTATAGCAAATTCTGCATCGTTCAATATTTTTAACAGATTGGTGGTCTGTTTTGCTAGATAATTAGAGAAAAATTTTTCTCTTAATTTTTCAGCTCCATCGGAGTAATATTATTGGAAAATCACATTTCCTGTTTCAATGCTTGCATAAATTATGAGAAAATGTATCTTGTAAATTTTTTCAGTGAAGTATTCAGGGTTCTCTTAGAATTCTAGTAGCGTGAGAAAGGTGTAACACGTTACAGGAGAATATTTTGAAAGAGGTTCCGCATCTGAATAAAATAATAATAGTGGTAGGCTACCAAACATTTGCCGGAGAATTCTGTGTAGTTAACGGAGAATTCTCCGATCTCCAATCCCTAGCTAATGAACACTCTGAAATATTATGGGCTTCCAGAGGGCAAAATATATTTTTTGGAAAGTTTATTGTATGCCCTTTCAAATGAGATAAAGCTTTCTCAGCTATTTAAATAACAGTGGAGATATAATTTTTTTAAAATGTGTGGTCAGATTTGCTGTTTGTGCGACTGGTAGAAAATGAGTTAAGGAAGGACAAGCTGAATGACATGGGGTAATCCCATTGGACTGAACAAAACTGTAGTTTATTAAAAAATATAAACTGGTTTCCATGCAGTCATCCAGGTCTTCTCATTATGTGTCCTCAAGAACCAGACGATTATGTGGAAACTAGGCTAGAACTCAATAACTATTTTAAGTATATACTAAAACAGTGGATAGTGTTTTTCGCGCGCTCTGATTGGCTACTCAGTCAGTGAATATCCTGCGCTATTCACTGATTCACCTCCAGTTCGTCCGAGCGAGCGACGCCAAACTCGCGTAGGTTGCGAGCAAAATGCTTTCCCGGTTTGCTGCCATAACAAACTAAGAAATTTCACAACTAATCAAGCAAGCTATTTCTGAAATACATGAAGAAGGTGACGAAGTTCGGTTTGAAAGTTTTAACAGGTAAAGCTTTGCCTTTTTTACTTGAATAGTTATCGATAAAGGCGGTGAAAAAGTTTTTTGGTTACAAATACAAAATTAAGCTTAAGTCTTGCGTTACTTTATTTAGTTGACTTGTTCATGAATAAGCTTAAAACTAAATTTAATAATCTTTTTTACAGAATTATTTTAAATACAAACAGAATTCACAACTCCTTTTGAAGAAACTTCCCCGCAAGAGCTAAACAAAGGCCTTCAAAAGTTTTATTTGTCGCTAAGAAAAAGCGATGACCGTGGCCGTTCGGTCATTGCGCGCCAAAATTGTAATTGTTAGAAACAGTAAATGAGTTAAAAATCATCATTTTGTGCTTAATTATCTCACTGTTTTAGTATATACTAAAACAATTATTCACCTCAGTGTCGGTGGCTAGTATTGGATATTTACCTTGCTGCTTTGCGGCCTCGGTAAATATCCAATACTAGTTACCTCCACTTTGGTGAATAATTGTTATTTATCATTGAAAAACCTGTCATTAACGTAACTACCAGTACCGCAATACTACAGGTTTGAAGGTTTGCATATGGTACTTACAAATAGGACAAGGAAGTCAACAACATAATTCCAACTGCTGTCTGGACACTGGGTACAACGGTTACACCCTGTAATACACAACATGCCAAATTATCATGAACTAAGGTCGTATTGCGGTTCTCCAAAGTTGGGGTTAGACTCAGATAATAAGTACCCAAGTTTTAAAGTAAGCTATACAGAAAGGCTGCCCTAAATATAATTTCTAACTAGTTCCTGAATGGCCCATAACTTCACGTGCAGATTTACTTGAGCCCCTTTCTTGTAACATCAATAGTTTAAACCATAAAGGACAACTTTGTCATCTAACTTTTGCAGGGGAAGACAGAAGAATGATTTAGTCAAGGACGCCAGAGAAACAGGCAAAAAACATGTAAAGTTGACCTAGAAAATTACGATGAAAATAAGGTTCCACTATACCCACCCACACACCTTCCATCTGACCCTATGATTCTAAAAGCTTTCCTAGAACTTTTCCAACAAAAATTATGCCTATTAAATGCACAGCAAAAAAAAAAACAATGCAAGTAGCACTTAGCAAAAGGAAAAAATTGACAATGCCGTGTCACTTTTTTAAACCCCTCCCACACATGGTTAAATTTTGAAAGCTGTTTTCTGGAACAAAACTACCTACAAACTGCCTTTTGGTAAGTTTTAGCTCTTAATAGAGTCATGTCACGTTGCCATGGTAGCAAAATAAATTTCTCGATCACAACAAACTGTAGTTCCACAAATATATGGCGTCCATGTATTTATTTACTTATTTATAAAGCTTTGCTAAGGAAAACTTTTGCAAAGCACAACTTGACAAGCTTGACAAGCTTCAAATGAATTGCACTTTTTGGCAAAATTCCAGAGGCCAATGGTTACATTTGTCCTAATTCTCCAAAGGAGCAAACGGTTATCATAAATATCTCTCATTGATAATGGTTTACCTGCTTATTGCAGCTTATCTTTCCATATCCACTGCCCTCAATAGCCTCTCCATAGGCATTAAGGTCACACTTGCCGATAACCAAGCTGCCGGCCCAGGCAGCAGTCAACAACATGATGGTACTTCCAGCCAGTGTACTGTTTAAAAGACCATACACAAGTTTACTTTCAACCTTGCTGTTGCAACACACAATAGTGAATTTAGAGAAGTTAGTTTCACCAACAAAGAAACAATAATTTTTTTTTATAATCTAGTTTTGCAACTTTGTCAACACAGAAAAATCAGTACTAGAGATTTAACCCATCAATATCCAACAGGCCGGGATATGAAGGTTAGATGCAGGTAATGCAGGGCTCAAAATAATGACCAGTCAAAGGACAAACATTTAGTTGGAGGGTTGTTTTGACTGGTCAAGTGCACAGCACACCAGCCACTGTTAAAAAATTATTTTGAGCCCTGCAATGACAACACAAGCAACAGTAAGCAAAGTAAGCAGGCTGACATGAAGAGGTAACCATAGCAACTTCACCAAGGTCAACAACTCCACTTTAAGAGCACCTGTCACACAAGGGTTATTCAAATGAGAAGCCAATAGCCAAAGGGACCAACAAGCCTGGCAACATTCCTGCTTTAGAATATATATATATATAGTGCCCATGCAAAAACTCACAACACACAAAGGCAAAAAACAGCAAACAGTTGTAACCATGGGAGCAAAAGAGCAATAAGCAAATACAATGGGAATGTTAAGAAAGGAGACAATCTTTAAGTTAACTATAATCATTAGAAATCTTGTTTAACAACTCACCCCATTCCAACTGAAAGCTTAGTTTGAGCATCATCACCAAGTCCAGAAACAATGATGATAGCAGAGTCAGGTACTGCTCCCAGCAACGGAAGCACAATACCACCTGCAGGCAACAAAGTAGACAATAATACACACAGACACTCATATATATGCTTTGTTCTTTACTCATCTTAAATTAATATTCCAACACTTACCAACCAAGGAAGGAGAACATCCAAGATCTAGCAAGAGCTCAGCACCATCTGTTAAGAAAAAAAACCTGCTAACTCCATCTTTTCTTAAATTCACACCATTGCTTTCTATTAGGGCATAAAATTAATACACATGACATCTGCAGTCATTCCTGTACTCCAGTCCACTGGGGTTATATCCTACTCATGACAGGTGATCACTGTAGTACTGTAGCTTGTGGACCTCTTTCATAATCAGTCATTATAAAACACGGACTAGGTATAAAATGCAGATTAGAAACTATGGACTGAGTATAAAACATGAACTAGGTATAAGACACTGACTACAGACTGTATATATAAAATCAGCTTTAGAAAGGTAATTCTCATAAATCCATACCAGAGATACATTTTGCTGCAACACCAAGAATAGCACCATAGAACACCATCAGTAGCAGGTTACCAGTTATCTAGAAAGTGACATATCAGTTATCAACCATATGGCAGAGTCTACAGCAGTCAATAGTGCTTTTAATTAATATTATCTTCTTCATTCCATAGATGATAGATAGATAAATATATAGATAGTAACTTTATTAAAGTGTCAGTCATTCTAGTGTTTACACACTAATTGGAGTCACTATAATAAATTATAATTCTCGCAGCGAAGCAACTTTATAATTTTGTCGCGCGCGGATCACAAGTGGAGTGCGATTTTGCTTTGGTCATAAATCTTTCTTTCTATTGGTTTGGTATCCCCAGTTGCCAAGCAACAAACCACAAACAAATTCTAAAAGACACCACTCAACATGACGTCATCGTGCATTTTGGGTGCCCATTGGTGCCTGATTCAAAAAATGGCCAAAAATCCTTGCATTGGAAAATTTTTAAAACACTGAAAGAATGGTGACACCATCTTCAGCGAGAGCTAGAAAAGATGAGCATGTTCATCAAGTGGCCATTATAAAGCCAGAGAGTGAATAAACACGAAATTAATGTGAAAAGGCTTTGAAATACTCGTTTAAACTATTTTTCCTTAAATGTATATTTGAATTCGTGATAAATACAGCCCCACATTAGGCTCAAACAGTGTGAATGGCGGAGAAAAATACTGTAAGATTATTAATTTTATGTCATAAATTGTACGGTGTCCGCATGGCCCAGTTGTTCATCGTATTTTTACCCTTTTGCTTGTTTCCCTTTATTCCCACTGCTGACCCATTTTAGTTTCACGAGATTTTTGCGATAACGTATTTCTAGTAAACTAGTTTCATACACTCGCACAAATAAAAACACATTCAACTAACACACCCAAGAACTTTTTAGGAGAACTGAAGTGAAAAGTTGTTTATTTTATAATTTGTCATTGTTAGTTGAATAAATATTTGGTAGCTCTTATTGTTAAGTTTTGTGAAATATAGCAGCCAATTTAAGTTTCTCTCCTTTTTTGTGACTTATTTATGGTCAAGTGTTAGCATAAAAAGTTTACAAGAAATATTCACCTTGATTTAATTTGTGGCCAAATGTGGGTGTGGCTAAAGCCCCAGAAAATATATATTCACAAAAAGTAGAATGTTCAAGAACCGTTAGGCATTTAAATTTTAAAGCCCACAAATAACAATGGTTGATTCATCAGGAGTGCACTCAAGCTTACAGTTTGACGCCAAGCTGAGGTTAAATGAGCATAAAAACAAACAACAAAGATGAAACCATTTAAAACATGGAATTTAAACGGCCAGGCAGAGGATGAAAGTGGCTGGCAATGACTGCACTTTGTATAAACAAATCTACTTAATTTTGGGGGTGTTGTGAAGGGAATGATTAGCGAGTCCTGACTCCACACTTCTTTTTTTAGTTAGCTTGTTCCAGGCGTAGATAATCGGACAGAAACATTTGCATTTCAAAGAAGCTTTTTGCATTATTCTTCTGCAGGCGTCTTGTCTTGTTCAGTGAGCTGGAAAAAATATAAACTACTGAAACGTTCCAGTTCAATGGCTTGTGGAAGCGTCAAGTTTTCCACTCTCTGGGTTAAATAAGTTTTGCTTTTCTGAACAAATAAAATCGGAAGTAGGAAACAAAAATTCAAACTAAGGTCTTTCTTCCCAGATTGCGAAAAAAACTAACGGGTAAAATATTAAACCTACGTGGTATTTGCAAGGTTGGGGTTAAACGTCTGCAAAGTTTGGTGAACCTTGCAGTCCGCACGAGCATTAAAGGTACTTTAGCGGCTCCAGGCTTTTAACACGTACATTCTCGAGAAATGAGATAGTAAAATCTAGAAACCAACACCCTTCGGAAAGTGCAAAACAATATTTTTACGCTTCAATACAGAGCAGCAGAAATAACTGCAGTAAAGTTTTCAAACTTAAATTTGACAAGTTATTATTCGACACTTTAATAATGGTATCCATGGGATAGCAACAAGCAAAAACTGTTTTAGGGGCAAACACATGGACTTAAGCTTACATTTTGGAAAAAGAGCTCATCCATTATAGGTGTGAAACCGAGCATGAATGAATCTACTACTGGCTAAGCTTACAAATTTGACAAGACGCAGTAAATGAGCTCATATTCATGTAAACTTTAATACCAGTGTTCAAAATTTTCGGGCTGAAAACCCACTAATTTTCCGTTTTTTAAAGTTAGCTTACTAGAACCGAAAGATAACGTGAACTAGGGCGGGCACCGGGCGGGCGGGCGTGTATTATCATAATTTTGTTTACACGCTTCCCTTGCTAACAAAGAAAATAGATGAAATGGACAGCGAAATATGGCGGTAAACAACTTACAATCAAAATTTATCGTCACAATAAGATAAAACAACAATAATCCCGTTCTTTCACAGAAAGCCCTCTGTTTTACAGATTTTTGAAGAACGAGTGAGATTTGGCTGACTCAAACTAAGAATAAGCCATAAATATTTTTTCATTCTCTGTACTGATCAGCAGATCGTTTAGAATTAGCTGAAATAGTGTACTGTGTGGGAATACGTGCAGCAATGGCGATGTCCAAACAAGCTCATTCAGACAACTACCTAGCAAAATTTAAAAACTTGACTTACCGTCGATGAGCATGGATACATTCCATTTTTTTCTTCTGAGCATGGATCCTCATCTTCTGTACTATTTGATGCTGAATTGTTCTCCTCTGCATATCCTGCCGCCTAAAATAAACACTCAGGTTAGCTTGCGCTTAAATATTTTTTATAAACTTGAATGAAATAGAGTTTAGAGAAGCCCACGTGAATGCTCAACATCAAAACGAAATTCATATTTTATGAAACATTACAACTTATAAACAACGTAAAATATTGACATATCATTTGCTTTTATAATAATTCAAGAAGCTTACCCGTCTCAACAAAGTGCGGGAATCAGAAGGAACAAAAAACTGACAAGAAATCCATGTACATAGAAGAATAAAAAAGTACAATTTCGGCGAAAGGCACACCATTCTGAGGGACAACTCACTCAGAGCGAAGCAAAGCAGTTATGCTAAATGAACTACTTCGAGAATAAAATATACCTCCGAAAATAAGACTGGGGGAGGTTCTTGATATGTAAATGTTTATCGCATAAATGTAACGCAACCAGGCGTGAATTCGCTTTTCAATGAACGTGTTATTATTGGCAGAAATTTGGCACTTTAATACCCCAAAGATCACCTACGTGTCAAGCTGAAACGCCAAAAAGTGTCTTTTACAAATTCCAGCACATAAACCATGTGGAACATAAGCATAAGCTTTACTCCTGAGAAATCTGCTGGGCTATAAACACGTAGCTACGTCTAGCGGAGGCTTTTGATGTTTTTAATTTTCCGTGCATGTCCAATACGCTAGAAAACCTCCGCCAAGTGTTTCCTCGCATGATCAGTAGCGCAAGTGGACACTCGTTTCCAGAGTTTTCGGAAAATCGACTGTAACTGACAGCAGCACAACAGCAGCACAGAACACGTAATTTCAACACAACGGTACGGAAAGCATTATGGGAAGGCTCATCTCTTGACAGTAAAGACGGCGAGTAAATTTTCTTCACAATCCTTCCTTGACAAACGTGAAAATCATCATAGAGAATAAATTCTACTTATGTGACAATATTTTGGCAGGCCACTACCAGATTTTATTCATTACAAAGCGCACGTGCATCGGAAATATTAATCTCGTACCAACAAACATTATATGACATATGTTTAATACGAACGTTACAGCAGTTACAGGAAACAGTCCAATTCCTGTATGTAGAAGCGAAAGACTACCTGTTTCACACACCCTGAGCTCGTACCGTAGCGCAGACCCTAGGTTTCCAAAAAGATATTTCAGTGTTTCAGTATCTTTCATGTGAATCAGGAGAAAACAAATAGGGATAATCGCAGGATTTTTTTGGATAGGAAAATTTTGGCAAGTATTTTTTTGGGCAGCTTTTTTGGGTAATCAAAACAATCTGAAGTTTCGTGATAGTTATATCATTAAACGCTTTCTGGAAATTTGTTTATTTTATCTACCCGATACTTGTATTGCAAAGCAATGCCTTTTACTTTCAAATCAACTAGCAAACAATGGAAAACTGTCTTTGATGCTGTCTTTTCACGAAATCATGAAACTACACTGTAGCGCTAGAATTCTTGTAGGGCCAAAATTGGTCAACTCGAAGCTACCAATTAATTACTTCATAGTTATTTGTAAGTAAGTAAGTAAGTAAGTAAGTAAGTAAGTAAGTAAGTAAGTAAGTAAGTAAGTAAGTAAGTAAGTAAGTAAGTAAAGACTTAATTTTATGAGGGTTAGCACGAAATAGCCGGGGCTAATAAACTTGTGGCCCTCTAAATAATAAATAAACAAATAATAAAAATAACAAATGAGTATACTAAGCTATAAAAAAATACAAGGTAAAAACCAAAGAATACAGATACTATAGAATCTACTAAATTATTTAAAAGATAAAATATAGCATTATAATCATCTCACAATTCATCAAGTAACTTAAATAGAAAAATGATCAAGATTCTGCTGTTGTTTAAAAAATTCATTCCACAATGCTTTTTTAAAGAGTCAGCTGAGTCCCTTTGCCTTACAGGCAAAGATAAGCTGTTCCATGCTTTGCAAGTTGTTACGGTAAAAGTTCTGCCTCCTTCTGTTTCGCGATTACACCTCGGAGAGGTTAGGTTAAAATTACAGCTATGAAAAGCGGCAAACATCAATGATAAAACAGCAGTGCTGCAATTTATGTTGGAAGCACCCTGAAAGTGCACAATTCTGTTGGCAAATCGGTTACGGAATAAATTAATGCAACGTTTTTATTGGTCAATACAATCAAAATGATAGGAATGCTTTTGAACGTTGTTCACTTTCAGGTCCACAAAAACATATAACAAAGGAGTCTGACGGGTTTCACAACCATTCCACTCAACTAACTATGATTACTTCAAAAAGGATCAATTGAACATGTTGCTATCTTACAAAAAAATGAATTTCTATTCCACTTGTAAGACTGAAATCAGTATATCTGAATATTAAGACAGGGGCGGATCCAGGGGGAGGGTGCAGGGGGTGCGCACCCCCCCCCCCTGGGATGACCTGCGGCCGCTTTCTAATTAACACTGTGCAGTCGCTTGACAGACATACAAAATCTGCTCTATCGTTTGATATGTATTCTCAGCAGTTCACATTATGTTATTTCCTAATCAAAAGCCCTCTTCTTCGTATTCGCTTTTAAAATTTTTTACGTCATTGGTCCGTTAGTGGTGCACCCCCTCCTAAGAAAAATCCTGGATCCGCCCCTGTAAGAACTTATTAAAAACGAACAACATTGCCAGGCAGTAGCAAAATTACGATCAAGTAATCACAGGTTAAGAATTGAAACTGATAGATACCATCTTCCTAAAATTCCTGAGAATCTTAGGATATGTCAGCTTTGCTCGTGGAATAAAGTAAAGAATTCATTTTCTATTTGAATGTAATTTATATAAAAATTTAAGACAACACTTTTCTCAAGACGTAGAAGTCAAGTACTCCAAATTCGATCCATATGTTTGTAAACGGTGAGGGTAAAAGACGGAATGAATTTGCGGAATGGCATGTGGCATGGCTTGCGGAATGGTATAATTATGTGGAGTGTAACAGATGCAGAATGACCCAAAGAAATAAATTAAACTGAAAAGAGCGTCCTTTTTTGGCGCCAATCAATTTGCAAACGCAGCCGCTGTTTTAATGTTGACATACGATGACAATCAAAAAGCCACGAAGGCTCATTGTCGATTAGCCTTTTCCTCGCAGCCACAAAGTTTCTTCTTGCCTTTATTAGTCGGGCTGCATGATAGCACCGATCAACAGCACGAAAGTCGGCCATTGAAGAACAGATGTTTTGGAAGGTCACACTCCCTTCTACTTAATTAATTTTTTCTGAAAAAGATGTTTGCACACTTTAACTTTACAGTTTCCTTTTACCAATATTTGTATTTGCAACCGCGTGAGAACTGTTTCTTTTTCAGACGGTGGGTTACGTGATCGTGACATATATTCAGAGATGAAAACGGATCTTGTATTTTGTTTCCTTAGGCCCAGTTCAGACGTCGTGCTTCTATGGGGCGCCGTTTGTAAAAAAAATGATTTAGCTTAATTTTGTCCTTTTTTTCGTTATTTATTAAATAAAGTTTTCTGATATGATATCATACGTCAATGATTTGATATAATAAATGTTGATTTCAAATCATGCGTTTATGATTTGATATAATAAATTATTATTTAAAATCATGCGTTTATGATTTGATATAATAAATTCTGATTTCAAATCATACCTTTATGATTTATAATAAATTATTTTTTCAAATCATACCTTTATGATTTGATATAATGAATATTGATTTCAAATCATAAGTTTATGATTTGATATAATAAATCCTGATTTCAAATCATAAGTTTATGATTTGATAAAATAAATCCTGATTTCAAATCATTCGTTTATGATTTGATATAGTAAATCCTGATTTCAAATCATAAGTTTATGATTTCATATA